GAAATTATAGGGAGTGAAATTGGATATCAGTCAAAATTTCACCTTTCTTGAGGTCATGCAACTATCTATATGATCATCTATCAAGAGTAGCAAAGTTCCCTACCTACGATTGTAACATTGCTGTACTCCCATGATGAGATACACTCACTAGAGGTAGCAAAGTCAGATACCTTCAACAGAAACATAGTCTGATAGCAACATACAGATGCACTCGCTAGTGGCAGCAAAGTTCTATATCTTATAATCGCAGGTGGGTTATAATCAGCATAGTTCACCTTACAATCACAGGTGATAACTCGCTTGTCCCCTATGCTATTTGTGTTTCTTGCTGGGCTTATTCGATTTCTGACTATGGTTAATAGAAACTTTCCTCAGCGCATGGATTCAATTGATTGGTAGTGTGGAGTCGGTCATATTGCAGCCATATATTTCCCCATTCGACTATTATTTAAATTCAAAATATCGATTTCACACAAATTTGACTACGATGTGGATATCGAGTTGAAAATGAATATCGATAAACACAGAAAATGATCCGGCAAATCAAAGTCAGTCTGTTTTTCCAAATACTTCCACCCCTTCCTTCATTTCTGCATAAATTATCAGAAACCCATTATGAAGATCCTTTATATTCTGCACTAGCCTCATATTTCCTGCTATGAAAGATGGTTATGAAAAAAACAGTAACCTACATTTCGAAGCGTGAACATATTTCATCGAAGAGCTCACTGCTACTATCATATCGTCCGTCGTAATCAAACCTATATTTCACGAATGTTTGCCATATGGTGTGGGACTTTGTTATATAGAGTCACAGAATCCGGTACAACTGCTTCTTGATTTAAGATACGTGTATAGGATTCAATAGAAATTCGATGAAAATATACAGGCTGATTCACGGTGGAAGGCACATTAGATATTTCTATTTATTCTCAGCGCTGCGACGTTGCCGCTTATATTGAAAAGTAGCAACAACTTTGATTGTTTAAATGAGACACCCTGTATATTATTCCATTCTCAGATTCTCCCTGTAGAGCTGATTTCATTGACATATTACACTTGGGGTCTAGCAAAGACAATTACAGAGATAGAGGGTGGGAAAAATCCAGATTTTTCAACGTTAAGATTTTTTTGTGTCTAAACTATTCATAATTGGTCAAAACGGTTTCCAGGTCCCGATTCAAACTTTTTATTCACTATCAATTGATATTTAATTGAAATAGGTTCAAGGTGGTTCAGAATTAATATTTTCAACCACCCTGTATCTATTGTCTGTAGGTTAATCGAGCAGGTGGTACATTCATTATTCCAGATTTTTTGGGATTTTCTCTCCTCGTTTCTATAAAATAAAAATGTGAATATTATTTCAATATACGTAAAGTAAGGAAAAATCAGATGATTTGCCCCAAAATGTCACTGCGTTTAAAGAATTTTCCTATCAGAGAGCATAAAAGAAAAATTCACTAGCATTGTCAGGGAAAATTTGTATTGAAAAAAGTTTGGAGAAGAGAAATAAGGCTATATAGAAAAACTATCAAATTTTTACTTAGCTCTGGACGTTCCGGGAACGAATCTGCTCCCATTTTCAACATAAAAAATAGATTTTTTGTATCGCAAAATTCGTATTTGTCCTGATTGATGAATGAAAATATCCTGCAACTCATTTGATTGCCAACGTCACCAACTGAAAAGTGCCAGGACAAATACGAATTTGCGATACAAAAAATCCATTTTTTATGTTGAAAACGAGAGCAGATTCCTTTCCGAAACGTCCAAAGATGAGTGAACATTTTATATTTCTCGATACAAATTGTCACTGACAAGGTAGTGAATTTTTCTTTTAGGCTGTCTGATAGGAAAATTCTTTGAACGCAGTGACATTTTGGGGCGAATCATCTGATTTATCCTAACTACACGTATATTGAAATAATATTCATATTTTCATTTTATAGAAATCTAGAATAATGAACACCCTGTATCTTTTTGTTTCAAATATCAATTGATAGTACATGAAAAGTTGAGAAAGGGACAAAAACCGTTTTGACTAATTATGAATAGTTGAAAATTCTCGATTTTTCACACCCTATATCTTATATCTTTTGTTATCATTCCCGCTAGACCCCAAGTGTAATAGATCGATGAAATCAGCTCTCTAGGAAGAATCTGAAAATGGAATAATATATAGAGGGTATCCCATTCAAAAAATCAAAGTGGTTGCTACTTTCCAATATAAGCGGCAACGTCGCAGTGTTGAGAATATCCTAGTTGGATAGAACACATTTAATTATCCACCGTGAATCAGCCTGTATACCTTTGATTGAGACTATTGAGAGTATTGAGATCAGCAATCGACTCTAGTACGAATAATAGAATCACATGCACTCACATATCAATGATTTCAATAGGGTTTCAGGAGATAATGTAAAATATATTCAAGTATTCTTGCTCTACTAAGTTTGCTGAAGTTATCGTAGAATGAAGAAAATAATGAACAGGAACAAATTGAGATGTATAACATTTAAATACGACCAAACAAGTCCTTAGAGGGGTAGTGGGTAGACGATAAAGATAATTGAAAATGCTATTCACTAATTGAGACATGCCCATAGATGAGTATGAAAAACTGTCAACCATTTCCTACAATTTAATGATGTCCTTTATTGATGAATAATTATGGAGATGATGACTATAATTCTTACTACTTGTTCGCGTTTAATCTACCTAAACCATCGAAAAATACAACCAGACAGATAATAGAATGGAGCAGGGGCAACCTGCGAATTCTCACAGGACTGCATACGGGACACTGTCGTCTAAGATACACCTGGTAAGGATGGGGCTGAACCAACAAACGGACTGTCGGTTCTGCTGTGTGGAAGACGAAACGTCTGAACACTCAGTATGTTCATGCTCTTGCTTAGAGAGACTGAGGTTCGACATATTTGGCCTTACCAGTTTAGAACCTATAGATTTCAGACAAATCTCACCTGATATAACCATGGACTTTGTAACAAGATGTGAATTGTTCAGTGAACTGTAACCTCTATACTATACATCACCTTGAGATGAATTTAGCTGAACTTTATCTCTTTTCTCGATTTATTAAAAATTCTCAGGGATTCTCGTTCCTCTAGCTGAAAATAGCTTATTTTGATAAAAGTGAGGTTCCCCAATTCAAATAATCAACCTTTCCGAAAGTTGTATTCGATACTATCTTCTCGAAAAGCCCTACTATGTGCTATCTTCGCCCAGAAGACTAAATCTTCATGTATTGTTACTTCAAGATCCAATATAATAAATAAACTGCCTCTTCCCTCTATTAATACAGTCTACTCAATATGGGTTCGTCCGTATTTAAGCATACTTTAATCGGTATTTGTGTTTCCTCCACTTCCTCAAGGGCAGTGATCGGTTATTATTCCTATCATGAACATCAACCACTTCCTGTGGCGATAATTTAATCATTATTTCACATTAATTACTGATGCGCTTTCGTTCCAGAAATTTTATTCGACCTCTCGAGAACAGCGAGAGCAATGGTTCCGTCGGTCTTCAAATAGATGGCGACATTGCACAATTATGACATCTGCCAGTTTTGAAATTGTCGCAGATTTTTCGAATTCAGAGTTGAATAATCCCACTGTTACATTTGTTCCGCGTACTAAACGAGCGCCTCGCGAGAATTGAACATGAATGACGTTTTGAATGTCAAACATTCTATCGCTGAAAACGAGGTTGCTTGGTCAGGTGTGAGTCAATTTGGCTTTTGTATTGTAAATGAATGTAAACAAAAAGCTATCGCTGTGATACAGATGAAACCTAGGGTCCCTTGATGCAAACTGACGTATTTGTCATTTAACAGGGTAACGACAGATCATAGCTCCTTTCTCTTTTAATCATCTAGTGACTTTGGTTTCGTGTATTGGCGTCCCTGACATGACATTGCTGTCACGTCACATTCATAGGCGTTAAAATAGATCTTACAAAATTTTAGTTTCACACTTGATCTTATATAGTACGACATTATTTAATTTTGTTTTGGAAGCATGGTAAAATGGTCTGCGTTAGGCTGTATCAATCAGTTGGATGGCAAATTTGAATTTGTCAGCTTTCCATCAAATGCAAATGAACTTAGAACATGGACAGTGAAGTGACCGAATGGGGAAAATTGGTAAATACATCAGCAAAATATTCGAGGTAAAACTAATACGAAATCACATATTTTACTTTTTCATTGTGCCTATGATTATCCACTCCACAAGTTTTTGAATGCATTTCAGTAGAAACAGTTTTGATTAAAACGGAGGATTAAAAGAAGATATGCCTCTTCTACCATTTGAAAAAGTATACTTACATTCAGGAAATAGTAACTGTTCGTGAAAAACTGCAACAATGATTCCCAACATGAATATATACAGCACACATGACATATGAGCACATTAGTTTAAATAACTACATAACATTTTTCACAATTTTTCAACCATAAGGCTTAATCTGAAATCAAGATGCATTTATTGATAGGTACTGCCTCAGAACACTCCCATTTGGTAAAACGTATTGAATTATCAGAAAAATTTGCTCACTGCCTCACAAAGATTATGCTGGAGTTGAAAAATCAAAAACTCGAAAATTATCATCATCATTTGGATATAATATGTAGACTTGAATGAGAAATCACGTATGATACGCCAATGTCCTCAATATAACCTAAAAAACAACAGATGTCAGAAATCTAGTGTTTATCCCTAGGAATGAATAAAGATGAAACTATACAACTGTTTCACAAACACTTAAGAGTGAGAGGAGACGAGGATCTGTCCGTACCCTGTTAAGATGACAAATACGTCAATTTCCATCAAGGGACCCTAATAATGAAACCGTGAAATTGGTCGATTCTGATTGGTTATCGAGAAGAAGACTGGACTAGCCTAAGACATTTTTTATTTCTGCATTCAAGAATTCTCCATGTCTTTCACTAATCAACTGTCTTCTTTTTCCAGTTTGGACCGGGAACAGCCATTCTCTTTCCAGTTGGGCGTGGGCCAGGTCATCAAAGGATGGGATCAAGGCTTAGTTGATATGTGCGTGGGCGAGAAAAGGAAGCTCACCATTCCGCCCCAGCTCGGTTACGGAGATGCCGGTGCCGGAAATGTCATCCCTGGCAAGGCAACCTTGATCTTCGAGGTGGAACTGATCAACGTTGGGGACGCCCAGCCTTCGACCACCAACGTGTTCAAGGAGATCGATGGGAATAAGGACAATCAGCTAAGCCGAGAAGAAGTAAGAGAGTTTGTAAATATGGATATAAGAGGAAGGAGTTTGGTTTGAACTGCTTTGTTTGATGACTTATTGGTGAAATGACAGAGTATCCAACTAGATAAATAGATGGATAGATTAATTGTAATTGGAAATTACATTTCTTATTAAAAGGGTCGGGTCATCTATATAATGAATCGATAAATGAGAATTTATAGCTGAATCGCATATCCTTCCTAGGCGACCTCATTTTAATCTACCATTGTACCATTAGAGGCATTGCAATTATATTTGATAGGCAAATACCTCATTCACAACCAAATATCTGAGCTTCAACATATTGATCAGAACCTGTACTTGAAGTTTTCAGTCAGCTAGGCCACAATAATTCAGAAGATAAATCGAATTATATATCATCATATATAATCATGAATCATATATTGTCAAGATCGAAACATTCAATGCATTGTAGTTTCGATCAGGTCAGCGGACTTCATAGACGTCATTTCCTTTATATTTTGCAAAGAAACCGCTTACCCCGCGTGATAATACCTATAGGTATGCAGTATCAAAAGGTAACGACCGTTCTCATTGCCAAAAATTGCGAACCAAGCATCGATTTCAAATATAAATAGAACCTGAATCGATAAGGATGGTCATTATTAGTTCAATCAATTCATTATCAACACAAGTCATTATGATTTCAATCGTACATAACACTCATTCATCGATTGCTGACTTCCAAAGTGGCACTATGCCCTTTTGGGGGTGTGACATCTCCTGGACTTTGGTGCGGCTGCCCATAACATAATGTATAAGTACCAAGAACCATCATCTTGTTTCTGTTGTTTGATCGTTTCTTGTTTGTTCTTTGCTGTTCCGCCCTTTTGGTACATTTTTATGTTTTCGTGATTGGATAAATTGTGTGTTGTACTTTTGAAAAACAATTCTCTTTATTTGGGGATGAATATGGTTGGGTGGTGAAATGATTTAAATCCTCTCGTCAAAAAGCCAAGCGAGTAGCTAAGCAGTTTCTTCTCAATAATGCCATACAACCTACTAGAACCATCTGAGTTGCGACAATATCGATCATATTGGACCTGGTACCAGCATAAAATAGATAATCAGAACGAAACTGTTCCGAACAGACTAATATGTGTTCCAATGATGAACATCCTGCGTACATAGGGAGGAACAACTCGCCAGGAATGAGACAGACAAAGGAATTGATTGAAAAAAACCATCATCAAATATTCAAAGAATATCTACTGAGCCAGAAACGAAGTTCAATTAGAATACGGGTAATGAGACTTCTCATAGGACAAACACATGAGTACAATAGGTCTGGCTGAAGAACTGCTGTGCAGGTTCTGTTGGGAAGCAGTACACATCAGTGCACACACAATACACATACTATGCAACTGTGAGGGTTCGTTATGACTTAGGTTCCTTACGCTTCTCATGAAGGCAAGGCTAGCCAAAGAAATCAGACACAATAGATCTGAAAAGGTCGCGGTGTGGAGGCAGATTGCTTGAAGGCCCATTCTAAATCTAATCTTATCTTATCAATGCCTACTTAAATAACTGATACACTGACCTTCAACTAACAACAGCTATGAAAAATCGTTACTCATTCAAGGACCGTATTCATGCTCAAAATAAAATATAAATCGAAATGTCTATCACATCATCATTACTGACGAATCAATCTATTATTTGTAAAAGAAATCATCAGAATGATATGAATGATTCTGAAGAAAGACCTGATCGAAATAGGATTGCCAAACTTCACTGATCAGTTTATTTTGGAAGTTATTCGTGTATATTGACAAACCCAATGAGAGATATTATGCTAGTCTCCGTGCATATCCAATAGATGTTCACAGTTGGATTTAACGATCTCCTCAGGGGTTGAAAGTGTTGAAACATTACGCCCAATAGATCTATTGGGCTCCTCCTCTTGCGTTGTAATGTTGTTCTCAGTATAGCTATAGCAATTGTTTCTCTGATCAGTATAATCCTTTTACTTTCGAGGAGTTCGGCTTAGGTAAGTCATTTTGTTGTGGATAATGCGGTTCAAAGAACGACTTAAGGGAATGATTAGAGAAGGAATAATTAATAGAAACATTTGCCCCCTCAACTTGGAAACCTAGGGCTTGTCTGTAGATGCAATAAGAAGCACAGCTACGTGAAACCCTTAGACTAAGCAGCGGGAAAGATCGAAACAATTAATTCATCATCATTGAACTCTGCTTCACACTGTTTCTTGGGTTTATAACTAGAATAATAAATAACAATATATTTATACAGAACACTCATGTGAGATCATGTGGATCCTGAAAATCGCATATATCTTTAACAATGTTTTATGCAATTTTTCAATCAGATCGAAACAAATACTTTTGTTGATCATCCAGTGTGTTGAATAATTCACGAAATCATGAGTTCCATGTTCCATTGTCAATATAGATTAAAACGAAGGGTCTAAAAAACTTACTTATTCTCAGTTTCAAAAGTTCTTGATCTGATAGAAATACAATATATTTCAACAGTGGCACTCATTTTATTCACATTTGACACCTTTGTAGCCAACCTCACAATATGAAATATCTTAGCCTTAAAAATAGGGTCGATTCGAAAACTGTGTGTTGATTGAATTGAAGGTACATTTTTATCGGTTATTGAGGAAGCTAGGTAGCTTCCTACTACTACAAATGCCTGTTGATTGGTCGGTTTTAGGAAATTGAAGATTTTTTATACATGAATTTCATTTCCACCTTCATATAGGTCTCTCTATTATTTCACCATAGTCATCATACAATGCGATTCTGCTAAACTACTAACTAATTATTTCTAATTCTGATTCATTTCAGGTCAGCGAATACTTGAAGAAACAAATGGTGGAAGCTGAAGGAGGTGCTCCAAGTGAAGAAGTCAAAAAAATGATGGAAGACCACGACAAACTAGTCGAAGAAATTTTCCAACATGAGGACAAAGACAAAAACGGATTTATTTCACATTCTGAATTTTCCGGTCCCAAACATGACGAGTTATAAAACTTACTAAACAATAGTTGATGAAGGTTTTATCTCCTGGTGCTTTCATCCGATTTATTTCCATATTCTGTTGCCAAACATCAACCTTGTGCTCCAGCAAATGTCCATCTTTTCGTATTTTTACATAGGTAGTCCACATATTCCAATTTCATATCAATTTGTATATAATTTATTTATATATTTATGATTATTACGAACTATGAACTGAAACAGTCATCCATGTGCACGCAGTTGTTGTTATTTTTTACTTTGATATAGTTTGTATATTTGTTATACGAAATATTTGTAATAAAAGGTTTTAAGTATAGGTAACTGCTTTATTGATAATGTCATGATGTTTGAATCAGGTTGCTATACTAAGATACTCAACAATAAGATGTTATACTCAAAGGCGGATCCAGGAAAAAGGAGTTTTTGGGTTTCCCTCCCCCCTTCATTGGGCCCAGGTCAACCGGTAATTTTCTGTGAGAAATTCCAGGTAGATCCTATCCAACATATATGGTTTCAAAAATGAAATTCCGAATTATCAATGAGTCAATCTAAAATATTAAAATTATTAAGGCCTACTTTTGATTGATGGGTCAAAATTTCAAAAACTACTATTAGGCTGTTTTCTATCCAGGCATACCTGAAATGCCTCTTGGAAAAATACGAAGTAATACCTCATAAGTATAGGGTGTGAGTTATTCAATGGCAAGTTTTGATATTCTTATTTTTTCTATTCATTCTGTATCAGAAACTAAGTACTTATCGGTTAATAATCTGTTACGTAGGCATTCAATGAAGGAATACATCTAGTAGTTAAATACGAAGTTTCATTGTAGAAACTTCCAAAGGAAGATGTGTCTCATCAGGTCAACCAAAAATTAATAAAATAATTGTTGTAGTTGAACAATTCGTTATCATGATCCATATCTTTTGTCTGAAAATAGGATAGGTGAAGCAAAGGAAGATGTGTCTCATCAGTTGGTCAACCAAAAATTAATGAAATAATGCAGAATAAATTGAATTTGCTTGGTAAAAAGGAAAAAATGTTCGTAACGGCACCCGTGTCGAAAAAAGATTTTTTTAACGATTACGTCATAACTACTGTAGTAGTCCAGTACGTGGGTATATCGGGTATTCCAAAGGATATCCAAAAAAGTTCCGGATATTGATGGACATGAATTGTACATCCATTGGATGAACATAAATTCTCATCCAATGGATTACTAATGGTACCTTTCCAATGGATATCCATAATGTATCTATTGGCCTGAGAGAATGTAAATGCCATCGCCATCTTTGTTTATTGTCGTTCGTCATGTATTCCGTACCTTGAGTCGTTCGTGTTTACTGTCATTGTGTGCAGAAGTTTGTATCGTTTGAGGCAGATTCATGCAGCATATTAGTGAACTAATTATTCGAGTCGTCCCTTGAGTCGTTGGTGTTTACTGTTATTGTATGCAGAAGTTTGTATCGTTTGAGGCAGATTCATGCAGCAATATATTAGTGAACTAATTATTCGAGGTCAATTTGAGGTTATGTGTAATGATTACTTTTTCAACTTGTTCACATATTATTTTATGAAAAGTGTGTGTGTGATCTCTCATTTATTATTTTCGAAGGAATCATATCCATCGTTACCTATATATTCGAAATATTCAATAGTGATTTATTTCTCTCAATTAACCAAATTAAGTGAAATTGTGATTGAATAATGAACGTTGTATAAATCAACCATTTAAGCTGTACAAGTGAATACTATATGTATATGTATCATAGCAGGGCAAAAACAGATCTACCTACTTTAGACTCGTGGGACAACATTATAGAAGAAAAAATATATTCAAAATTCATAGGGGGAGAGTTTTATTTATATTGCCCAAAACTTATACATAAAATGTATAATTCACGTACAATATTTGTACAATAGGTGTACTGTAGCTGTCCAATTCATTTCCAGTAGTTGTACAATTCATGTCCAATATTTGTACAATTTATGTTCAATAGGTGTACAATTCATGTCCAACAGTTAGTCAATTCATATCCAATAGTTATACAATTCATGTACAGTAGTTGTACAGTAGATGTACATGATGTACATCCAAAGGACATCCAAACTTGTGGCCTCTGGATTTACAATGGATGTCCATTGGATAGAAGCTGGACATTTTGAGCCATCCAATGTACATCCAGCATGTCCATGTACGTCTATCCAATGGACATCCATTGAATAGCTTTGTGTTATTAGGGGCTATGACAGTTCCAGTCAGCTGTTCAAGGCACCGTTTTTTTATTTTGAATCTATATTGATTCTCCTTTGTGATGTCCATCAATAAATATGTGGAAAATGAAAATCACATGATCTTTACTAAGAATAATGGAATAGAACCCAACCAATATGAAGTTTCTGCATTTTTTTCAAATAGTGGTATTTCACGGAGCTGCAATTCTCCTAACATATGTGTCTTACAAAAAATGTTCGATCCCAAAATATGTAGGAAATTTTGTCTTCTTCAACTTTGTATGAAGCATATGTTTTGTCGGGAAAGCCAACGTTTTGAGTTATCAACAAAAAAACAAATTTTTTTAACTAAAATTCAAGATGGCCGCTCTCGAGCGCATACGCCTCGAGGTAGAAAACTTGGATATTTCATAAGGTGCCCAAACCTAACAACATATACTGGAAAATCACTACTACCCCACCTTTTGCATTCAAGAAACTCCCACGTACTGAACTATAGCAATATTATAATGAAATTTTGTACAAATTCCACTACTTATAGTTTGATCGGAGTAATTTTAAACATGATAACTTTCTCGAGGTTCCATATTCCAGTCCAAATTTTATGTGAACTTATTGAACATGATTCAACTTTACAACGAGAAGATACATTCTTGATATTGTGTACCGTTTTCGGAATATTTTGATTTGAAAATGTTGAAGTAATAAACTCTTTCTGGTATAAATAATCTATTCATGGAATGAGTAGAGCATTAGGAATTGGCTCACAGTGGGATTTGCCTGGAATTCACATATATTATTGGTATTGAGTTCCTAATCAAATGTTCTCATTGGTCCAATTCTCTAATAATAACAATGATTCAGCTCTCAGGGCCGTTTATTTTTCAGTACAGGTGTCAAATAAACAATGACACTTTTTTTTCAAGCCCATAATTCTTCAATTTTCTACCAAAATTCAATCAAATAAGAAATATTGTACAATCTCATCATTAGTCTATGAAAAATGTAAAACTCTATGTACATACAACTATAGGAACTGCTTCAAATTCCCGCATATTCGCAAGTTTTGTGTTTTTTCAATAAAGAATTTAGTATTCCGACGGGGTGGCTCCCTAAGCTTGGAGCCCCACCGCACTGCGCTTGGTTGTGTTATGCTAGTCACGCCACTGGACTCAATTCATGTGTAAAAAATCATCAACAGTAAAAACAAGAGTCATTTGTTATCGGATGAATTTCTCTTGGTAACGAAAAACATGACGATTAGTAATTTTACGAGAAAAAGTGACTAGTGTAGAAATAACTGATGGAAAATGTTTGAGTGCTCAAGAGAGCACTTGAAGCTGATGTTTGATTGCGAATTTTAATATAACTGACGAAGTGATCACCGTCTTTGGTGATCAGATGGATATACTCAAATAGTTGGAAGCTATGCCAGCAGTACATTGAAATGCATATACGTCCTTCAGTGTAAGTTTTTTAATTTCCAATCAGGATAACGTAGTTGGTGCTCAACTCAAAAGATAGAAGCAATTAATGAAGTCTCAAGGAATAAAACAAAATTTTATCATATTGACACACTTGGGATTTGTTAGGCCTTATTATTCTTATATAAGAACCGTAAAGAGAACTAATAAATATCAAAGGATTTAGTGATACGTTCGGTTTTTCAACCCAAGGTATAGGTACTGATCAACGGAGCATGATATGATAACGTATATAGTTCATAAAAAAAAACACTTTATGATATTTGATTTTTCGAAAAAATCATGTTCGTTCTATAATTTGAAAATATGGTTTGGTGAAAGTGCATTTTTTTGTCTGATGCCTTCCACTAGTCGCTATATGATTCCGAGAACACCAGGTTAAAAATATTGCCAAAGTAATTATCACCACAATAAAACAAGAAATGAGTTAATGTAACAAAATCTGATTTTATATTTTTCGATTCATTCGAACAAATTCCTACTTAAATCAAATGAGTAACATAAAACACAGCAGCAATAATAATAACTAAAATGAAAAATCAGAAAATGTAGGCAGGTTTCGAACAGTCATATAAACTTTCAGTAATGGAAATGAGATGTGATGAAAAATCGCAATAATCAATTAAATTAAAATTGGGACTAGTCGCCATTTTCAAAAAGGCACATCCAAGATACCGTATAACAGCTGATCCTCATCCACTAAAAAAATAATAAATAAAAACTAATTCTTAAATACTATCATGAACTTAAGATAATATGCATAAATAGTAAAAAACAACAGATGAGTGAGCAGCCATAAAATTATCACATGATAAAGTAAGTATACAAAATTTTAACATCTTCTGAAGATGTCACATAGGTATTTAACAAATTAACAAATAAAACTTCGGTATGACACAGCACTTTTTGTTTGTCTGAAAGTTAATACCCCTTTATGTAAGCCGATAGATGCTTCTTCTCCTCTTCAGATAATCCATTTTTCAGTGTTCTGCGAACTATAAAGAAATTAATAGCTATTAAAAATAGATATATCAATTACTACTTCCATACAAAATGTTTTCTAATTTTGACAAAAAAATTTCGCTTCAACAAAATGACCAGTTCTAGCGATCATGTACAAAATTTTGTAGGCTAGTTGACTTTGCCTGTCAATATCTGAATAATACTGAACAATACAAACAATAATACGAAAAGAAATCATTAGCGACGAAATAGATTCTTTTGATATTTTCTTTAGTGGAATTTTTCTTTTTCAGATTTAAAAAGTGATATCGACGAAGCAGCATAAAATATACTTTTCTCTTGCTCTATCCATATTTTTATTTCGTAACTGATGTTGAAATGAACATTTCACCATCAGTTATGAAAAATGTTACTTTACGACACTGGTTACTTGAAGTAAGACGTTACAAAACTCCAGTCAGTTTTGAAAAGTGTCCAATTACATGTCAAAATAAGAAAAACAGATTTTGTGACTTTACGATGGAAAATCCAAACAAAAAACTGAGATATCATAAAATGTTAACAGTCAGCAAATATCAGGAAAAAACTCAACAAATCAGTGCACAAGTTGCAGCAGACATGAAATCAATACACTCAATATGAAGGTAGGTATGTTACTATTAGGTATGCCAGTTTCAGTAAAACATATTCCAACAGAATTTCAGTAGGTACCTACCTACCTACTCTCACAGATGAACAGGCATCAATAAATACCAGCACTGGTTCAACATAATATGAGTTTATCATACCTAATTTGGAACAAGTAGGTCATATATTTATGTTAATATCAGGGTGTAAAATGCAAAACATGCCAAAAACAAAGAAAAGTCAGTCATGCATCTCCAAGTACAAAAGCACATACCAGATGAACAGATCTCAAGGAGAATCTCTGCTTCCGAATGGGTTATTTTCTCTTGTTCGAGAACGCTTCACTGTATATAAAAGGGAATATATATATATATATAATGAATCAATCTCATCTATGTGATTGTGGGAAATAATCGGAAAAAGTTGTTAGTAACGAATGGTACACAAAATGGAACTGATATTTCAATTGATGAAATCCTGAAAGCCTACAGTTATTAACAGAATATATGGAATATACACATACAACTACAACTCTAAGAAGATTCAATTTATATAAGAGACCCATAAATACGGTGAAATAATTAACGATAAGTTAAATTATAGTTACAGGACTTTCATTTGAAAAGAAATGGATAATCGACTTTTAAAGAGAATAATCCTAGTCAGATGAGACAAGTTTTACAATGATTGTTCATATTCATATTTGTATCCAAACATCTCGAACTATTACGTATTGAGAGGAGAATAACAAATCTCTGAATAATGGCATATGAGCCAAAGCTTTATCGCAATGAGTAATCGCATTATTATACAGTGTGCCTTCGAATTGAATTTAGAGTCTATGCTTGAGTGGTATGAAAAAACATTTCGAGCATCCATAAAGACTATCACAAAATTGAGATAATATAGTCATTACATATCATGCTACATGGATAAAAAATGATAATGCTGCTCTGATGTGTCGTCTGTAACAATCTCGATGGTCTTATTGAGAAAACAATTATGACTAAAGGGGGTGAGAAATTTTCCTCATCATTGTGTCTGAGTATTATTCCCAGCAGATTTGATGGAACTAAGATAATATGAAACTTACGAGATTTTCTATCGGCATGTCTTGTCCTCTTTCTTTCTCTAGGCGCAGTTCTAGAAGATCCTTTGGTGGCAGTTTTCACGAGACTTTCCAGAATTTCATCATCACCGTCAGTCAAATTTCCATTGCCAGGACACATAAAGGATCTGTTGCTTTCTCTCCTAGTTCTCCTCCATGGCAAAGTACCTTGCATGCTTTCCACATCGGATATATCACTGCCCAAGAGTTGTCGCAACTCGGCGTCAGCTTTGTCTTCTTTCGTCTTATTGAATTTACCCATCTAGAAATATCTCATTCAGTATGCATTGATTTCATAGGGGGAAATGCAACTTTGAGATGTTTTCTTGGAATTATTAATTTGAAGAGTCAGTATAGTAGGGGAGGCAAAGAGGCTAAATAGGGATTTACTCGAGTGTCGTGGGGACGTATCAGATTCTGAAGATTAGATGCGAAAATGAAAAAAGTTTATATGATATATGACCTCTTTCACTGGTGGGGAGAGCGTGTAAGTACAGGTGTTCAAAAATGTAAAAAAAAGACAGTCAACAGAAATACTCGAGCGCATAAGATATTATAGTGTATGCGCTTCACGTATTCCTGATAACCGAAAAATGTCAATCTGCCGGTTTGCATGGTGGGGGTGGCCGTACGGAGGGATAGAGAATAGGTAAAAAAAAATAATTCGAGCGCGTCAGATATTGAGAAAGGATGTTAAATACCCTCAAGTAGCTCCTATTCAAAAGACTGACGATTGTGGGATAACGGCTTTGCTGTTTGAGATAGATGAACAAAAATTCTCGAGATGATCTACTCTCATGAGCAATACATTTCTGAAATATTTTGCGTTATACAAGGGGATTCATAAATGCATGGCGTATCAAAGTTATACTTTTTCTTATAGCACACCTTGTATTTTATTGCATTCTCAGATTTCTCGTTGTGAGCTGATTCCAACGATCTATATCACATTCTACTTTCAAGAGAAATTACCACAGATAAATAGGGTACAAGCACCACACTTAATTGACAATTAAGAAAAAAATCAACCGCGCTCGAGAATCTACAGGTGACGATTTTTTTGCAACTTTGTGGCTCTCCCATTTCCTTATATCACGCTCAAATCGTCAGATTATTGACATGCACACTTTTTTGCATGTACAGTGGGGCTCAAATTAAAAGTAACGACTTCTGTGAAAATCCCTTTAAAATTTCAGTTTATGCACCCAGACTAATATCTATTCCAACCGCCCGCTGTTTCAATCACTTATTTCTTATGGTGAGTTGTGGTACGAGATAGTCAGATATCTGAATATTTCTAAGATTTGGGGTTAATATTCACATCGCTAGAGTAATATTTTATGCTTCATCTTATGAAGCTGACTCATGGTTATTCATTGTTTGATTCTAGTTGATTCTATGGATTGATAGATATAGTTGAAGTACTTCTTGAATAAAGCGGCATCGGTATAATTAAATTTTTTTTAAATTGAAGTTTGTCGTTAGTATATCCTTCCATTATTTTTCCCATGAAATCATATTTCTTAATCGTTCTTAAGAGTTATTTTTCTCTGAATACCTACCTATTTTTGATATAAGAACTAATAATTCTCATCAGCATGATTGTGCGATATGAAAACGGTATACACATAATTATCTTGAAACGCGAATATCTACCTACTTCCAGAAATTTTATTTTTAAAGTATAATACTTGAGCTTCGATAAATCGTGCAGATAAATTTGAAAAACAGGGTTATTGATCGATTTGATAAAGTTCATTGTCTCCCATGTCCGTTAATCACAAAAATATTACTTTGCTTCAGAACAGTGTTGTGTCATCAATTTGATATCTCAAAGGACATAGGAGATACTGAACCGAACCGAATAAGTAGACAATATTTCATGATGCATGCTTCTATACCTAGAAAATAATGACGGATTCTCATTCAAGATCACTCGGAACATACCTGTACTAATTTGCATCATCATAAAATACAGGGTGTCCGAATTTTTTTTTATTATTTTTTGGTTGATGAAAAAATTGCCTACCCACCCTTTTTGTTTTCTCAGACACATTGTATATTTGAATGATAATAATCGGGGCTGATATGTTCGAAGTAGTCCTAAATATCCATTTGACATTAGTTCTTCCCAAACATACCACAGTACTACATTTTCTGATCAAGTATACAAAAAATATATCTATTAATCCGATTTTTCGGACACTCTTTGTTTTATGATGATGAAAATCGGTACAGGGTTACATTGAGTGATCTAGGTTTAGAATCTATCATTAGTTTTAGTGAAAAAATGAAATACCCAATAGTAATTTACGAAATATGGGTCAATAAAATTGGTCGCAGTTGATGGCCACGATAACAGTCCAAGAATAAAATCACTTTTTTTGTTTGATGGATATTTCAAATACCTATACAACAAAAAAAAAGTTTTTCGAAATCGATCAGATAAGATAATACGGATTTTAGAGGCGGTGGTAAAGTTCTTAAAGTGGACACACTGTATATATAGCACGTGGTCACAGAACATAACATGCAGTGCACTGTTAAATACCAGAATGTTTGATGTGTATTTTTGACTTTTTTTTCAATATAAATAAATAAATTTATTAAATCCTTCATGATCAAAAAATAATACCTTATAATTATAGCCGAGTAAAATAACTATAGAAGTTTTCCACTCATCGATATTTCTTTGTGCTTATTTATTCAACAGTATAAAATGTTATTTTGGTTTTGAAATCTATGATCTGCATGCTGATAATAATCACACTGTAGATATCCTTGTTCATGAAATTCATATTTACGCTCGAAAGAGCATTTTATGTGAACCAGTTCTGCTTTGTAAGAAATCAAGAGTTTCAGTGTTTCAGTTTGAAAAAAAATCATTTTCAAAAATATTTCCAAAAATCGTTATTACTCTGAAACAGTTGAAAATAGTAATGAACCTTATATATTTTATGGTTTATATCAGAGTAATATGTAGAATGAATAATGAAAAAAAAGTGGTGTTCTATTGGAAATAAGGGAATTCTATTTTCTTTCCGTATTCGTAAGTGCGCTATTCCAGATTCATCCTCGGATTTATCCAAAAATTTTCAGAGTTTTATTCAACTCAGCATAATATTGAAAATGAATGGGTTACCTGAATGAACATGAAATCATAAAATTCAGTACTATATCTTTATTGTTTCATTACAATTTTATCGATCTTTTTCTCCTGGTTAAACAAAGTGTAATTCAATTGATGGTTAGAAATATAGGATGTAGACATTTTGAGAAAAGTTCATATGAACATAATATATGCCCTGAACCTCTTAACTTTAAAGCAATAGGGTGTTGAAATTTTAAGAAAAAAAAATTCTTATAGTAACTTTGATACTGTTCTAGATATTCTCATAAAATTTGACATGCACCTACTAAGCACTGATGGCCAGTTCGTGTCCGTATGGGATGTAAATACTGGAGATTTTTCTAAAAAATAAATGCAATTCTCATTCCTTTTGCAATAATTTGAGTTACATATTTGAAAATGATGAAACCATTTTGCCAAATTCAATCAACGACTTCACTTCAATAAAAATTAGACAAAAACACATCTTACCTACAAACTACACCACATTGTTTCAGTCGGTGCATGTCAAATTTCATGTGAATATCTAGAATAGTATGTCGAAGTTATCATAAGAAAATGCTCATTTTCATAAAAATTCCAACACCCTATAGCTCGGAAGTTGAGAGGTTTAGGGCATATGTTCATATCAACTTTTCTTCTCAAAATGAGCTGAGGAACCATGTCCTATATTTTTAGCCATAAATTGAATTACACCCTGTATAGTTTGAAATTAAATCCCTTCATTCCAAGATTGGATTCTAGTTGTAATTAATTATATTATATCGTTCTCAACAAAACTGAATCAAAGTGAAGCAGTCCAGATAAATTCCTATTCCTATATGTAGTTGCCAAAGAAGAACTCTGTCATTTTTATTTTCCGGGTTCGAATAATTATTATTATAACACCTCTAGGTATACCGCTGGGTATACCCTCTAATACCTTTACAGCGCGAACCAGGTCATAAAATGCTAATGAGGGAAACAGTTCGTTCCTAGGCAATGAATAGTACATGTGCATAGACAAAAATATTTCAATTCGACCAAGAGTCGTTACTTTTAATTTGAGCACCACTGTACGTACCATGTCTTAATCTTATTACGCGCTCGAGTATTTCTGGCGATCGATTTTTTTTTACTAATCTGATCGGCTGTCCTAAACTTTCGACACCATATAATGGGCCCAGGTATGGTGGGAGTACTTCACAAGGTCCAAGGAAATCCCCGCTTGGGCTTCCCTACTACAGGGATAACAAAAGGCATCAGTATTGGAAAGCAAATGTGTGGATATCTCCTGCAGTATTCGGAAATATCATCACTCACTTCCACAAAATAAGTTTCCAAAAGTATCACACGGTATCTTAAATCTTTATCTCTAATATCAATGACTAGAAAATGTATGGTTCTTCGATTTGACAGGAATAGGCAGTAATTTATTATAGTAGGCGAATAACTTACATCTGTTATCATCTTCCCTCTGGTTTTATTCCTTTCTCTGTGGTTAGCTTTTTTCTCCAGTTGTTGTAATACTCGTTCCCTAGTGGTTCGATACTCTAAAGAGAATTCTGATACTACCCTACAGAATTCGTTGGGTTTGGTTTCGGAAATCTGATGCAGTGGAATTCCCAACCAGAGCAAGAACTTATGGAATCTTGAAAATTTCAGATATTTTATGATTAATGTATGATTTTCATATGTTGAGGTTCTCACCTGTTGACTATTCTTCTGTGAATTATTCCTAGAAGAATGATCCTTTCAGCGCATTCTGAAAGGAAATCGGACATCTTCACTTTCATCATTGTGGAACCATCGTGTTTGGCTATGAGTTTCAAGTGATCCCAAGATGCCTTGCAATCTGCTTCCAGTCTTTGTATATTCAGTGCTAGTTCATCAAAGTCGATTTTCGATGCTCTGGTTATTGCACCAATCTACAGACAAATAATATGATGATTATTGAATATATTTGATGTTTAACTTTGTTTGGGACAACGCAGAAATACAGCCGACCGAATATGTGACAACGGAATGAATCAGAATCTTCTAATATCAGCAGAAGTATAATAGATAAAATGTGTCAGCATAATTATACCAGAATATACTTCACAATGATAACTATATGAAGTTCCGAAAAATATAATCAACAGTTATTACACAAATGGTGGTTATTTTTTGAAAATTTGCTAATCTAGTTGAAATTATAACGAGAAGAAACCAACACGAATGTAGTTTAGCGTGATTATTTTCCAATTATTTCGCAAAATGCCCAGCAAAAACGAACATATTTGACAGCCACAAACTTCGGTATTGCGTCATTTTTGTTCGAACAGACTTGTTCGTCGCAATCTATAGGCCCCTTCATGTATTCATTCAAACGAAGATCCAAACGTCAAAAAAGTATCGCTGTGATTTGCCATTAATAGATTATCAGGATAGAAGATGATTGGCTAGAATCACGCATTGATATTCTTTGAAACAACGAAAACGTTACATTTTAACATTTATATGAAAAATATATTCTCTTGAATAGTGAATCTGCATAATGATGTTGTTTTTGAGATAAACTTTGGTGGAATTTTCAAATAGGTGTTGATCTGATATGTCACTCACCTCTGAATACAAATCAGATGCATCAGGAAATTTCTCCATGACGATATGGCAGAGATGGTGCAACAGCGAATGCTTGTGGACAGTGTCCTTCACTTCAGGTACTTTGGCAAGATATTCGATCTGGAATCCCTTCACTTCGTTTCCGTTCAAAAAATTCCCGATCGACAACAGGGTGCTGAGTATCGCTCTGAAAGTTTTGTTTACACGTAACAGCTCGATACCCTGTTTGAGATCCATCAAAGGTTCCGCAATTTCCCTCTCGGAATTTTCGAAATCCAGCTTGAAAGCCCAGAGCTTCAACCTGGCTGGTAGTTCAGAAATCGATGCTAGGGTGAGGAGAAACTGTTCGGCACTGCCTAGCGGTAGGTCGGGATTCGCTGCTTGGGCTTCCTGGATTTTGCTCCTTTCTTCTTCGGTTGGTAACATGGTGAGGAGCTTTTCGATGCCTTCTCGATTCATAATGGTCGCATCCATTTTCAGAATCGCCGTTTTTATGGATCTTGGAGGGGGTAACTTGGTCATGCCTATGTTGATGGCATTTGATCTCTTGGGGTCCAAAACAATGATCTCTTTGTTTTTATTCATCTCTTGTTGTTTCTGTAAGAACATACGGATATATATATATTTGTAACATTATGTCAAAGAATTCTCTGCTAGATAGATCCTAGTAGGAAGAAGAGAGATAAGCTTACCATCCAAATATTTGTAATCAAAACGAGAATATATGGAAGGGATCAGAAACCACTGCAGTGATGTCGTTTGCTACTTCCAAACATATGGAGACTCATCTGATCCTTACTGGTTTCTATTTCCCTTTCCCATGAAATTTATTATTAATTGATGGTAAAGTCAAGTATCAAAGTGCTAAGCTCAACTGATATTGTTATTTAATTATATGTTATTATTCAATAATTATACTGAGTCTATTTCAGATAGGCATATCTTTATCTCCTTCTTACTCTAGAGAAAAAACTGAACCTACTCAGGGAAAAGGAAGAGTATAATCATCATGCTGAAGGAATGATCTAGAGATTTAGATATACTGGGTACGCACACACATGCTGTGTATCTACCATGCAGTGTACATAAGAGCTCAATTTTTCGACCATGATAATCATCCAGGACACAAAGATTTGAAATCCACTGTAGTGTTCGAGAATTTGAAATAGTGTGGCTATGATAGCGAGAAAGATGTTGAAAAGAAATTCTACATTGTATCAAAGTGCATACACTAAATTCCACCACCTAAAAATTCAAAAACTCACCTCCTTAAGCCAGCACATGCCAAGAGAGGATCACCAAAGAAAAAAGAAAAATAGATTTAGAAACGAGATGAAACAGAAAAATCACCTCCACCCAAAAACCCCTTAACGAATACCTATGTTTCTTTTCAAATTTATTTTCTGAATAATGACTGATGAGATATTTCGGAATGCACGCGTTTATATATCAACTTACTTTCGTTATCAGATCTTTAGCTCGTGATTCGAACAAATGTTCCAATTTCTGCGTATCCACAGTGACAGGAGACAATTCATCCCATATAACACCTGTTTTTAGCTTCACGTGACTTATTGGATCTTCCCTAACTTCTTTCCAGAACAATTTCACCGTCTTCTTATTCTTCTTTATAGGAATTTTTGTTTCTATCTGTTTATTCAACCTGTTTAGACTAGCTCCGAAAATGGGAGGACTGGGCACAACTGGAGGTGGAATCCTGCTTGTCAACGGTGGAGGAGGCGGTGCACTACCCATATCCCTCATGAGAGGAGGTGGCGGAGGTATACCGTTTGTAACAGTTGCGGGTGCTAAGACATCTACTTCATCTTCACTGCCCAAATCGGTGAAGTCCATATCACACAAATTCAGAGTCCTGTCGATGTTAGCGACTAACTCTTCCCATCTCAACTCATTCTCAGATTTTTTCGTTTCAGTTTTCGGCATGTTCTCGTTCGTTGGGCTCTTCAGCATGTCAGCCTTCGATTTTGACTTTGCTAGACCCTCTTTTGCCTTGGAGATGAGTCCAGACATGTCACCTATTCGGTTGATCTTGTTTTCTTCAGACGGGCTGTGGAGAATGTTCTGGTTGGCTAGTTTTTGTGTGAGGTCTTTGACTGTATTTTCTCTTTTCAATTGTAATAATACATCTCTCTCGTTCTCGTTCGTATTTTCTGATTCTCCCTCTATCTCCTGGTCTTTCATCATCGAATATATCCATGGTTGTTTTTCTTCCAAGTCTAATTTATTCACGGCATTCATTAGGGGCGTCAGGTCTTTTCTACTTGTATTTTTTGTGAGGCTATTTCCATTAGAAATTCTCTGTTGATAGGTATTTGTATAGTTTCCTGAAATCAAGAAGTTGGAATCAGACAGAGCGATAAATAGCTTGAAGAAGCAGAATGAAACCTCTTTTATAAACAACAATCGAGGAGGATGAAGAACATAATGAAATGTTTCAGCTGGTTTTGAATGAAAACTATTTTTAACGAACGAATCGATAAACCTATGTGTGCATGGTCATTCGTAATGAAATATTGTAAAAAGCCTACTTCAATTCCCTTACATTTTATTTGCCATGAGTTATTCAAGGAAATGTATTTCTATACCTCTATCGAAAAAGATATCATCTACTTATGATTGTTATGGAAGGAAACAGCAAGCTTAAACCTTGTTAGTAACCTACCATTCTCATTTTCATTATTATTCCCTTCGTGTAGCAGACAGTCCCTGATGAACGCAGCTGACTCTTGTTCCTTCATGAAACTTCTCTGTCTTTCTGCCCTCTCTCGCCTTCTTTTCAAAGCAGGAGTGACGCCAGCGTCAACAGCTAAGCAAAGCAAAGCCATATATTAAAACAAGCTCAAACAAACAATATCAATCAATCAAGTCTTCTTTATTCGATGCTGGGAAATACATTTCTAATAAAAATAACTCACCTTTGTTACTATCCTTGTAGCTGCCATTCAACTGAGAATTGTTGAGGCCAGAAGACTGCGAGCTAGAGGACTCTTCATCCTCATTTTCCCTGTTTGACTGCAAAATGAGATTGTTGGTATTCCTGGTCGATCCAGGATACATCGGACTAGTGCCAGTGGAATGTCTTCGACTCTTTCTTCGCTCAGAAGAAACCGCCAAAGACTTCCTATTCCTGATGGTCTTCCTGACGCTCTCGTCCAGATGCCTTATAGGTGTCCCACAGATTTCTTCGCCGTCTTCATACTGTAATACTGCTTCGTAAATTTGAAACTGCTGTAGTAGATCCAGATCCGTGCCAGGCTTAGACATGTACCTTTGTATCACAGCTTCGAGGCCTTGCTCTTCCAAAGCGTCCGCCTGGTCATAGTACGTGTCTTGGTCAGGCACACCGTTAAGGATCTTGTTTATCAACGTCATCGCGTATATGAGTAGCTCCGTATCGGCAGAGTCGAAGTCTTTCAGAAGCCTCATGATGTTGTGATAAGGCAGGGTCCTTTGCGAGTAGTCCACAGAGTGTATGGCTTTGATCAGGAGGGTGCAGTTAGAGTCCGTATATTCGACGAATACCAGCAGCAGCTTCAGGGCGGTCTTGACCACCAGTCTGAACTTGGAGGAAATCAGGGTGTAGAGCCACTGGATGGTCTGGTTGTGGTCCATTACTCCGTTCATTCCGTCTACGTAGAGCATCACTTGGCCTAACGCCCGCAGGATGTAATTTTGGTAGTTTTGATCGGCTTCCGAGCCGACTTTGATGAGACATGATAGGCCGTCGTTCTGGACGAATTCGTGGACGAGGTCTTTGTCTTCTTGGAAGATTTGCTTCAAAGAGAAGAGGGCTCGTCGTAATTCCCGGCCTTCAGAAGTAAGGAGCTTTTCTAAAAAAGAAAGAAAAAATCATGTAATAAAGTAATCAAGTATTGCATGATATTCCTGAAGTTTTTCAGTGCTCAGAAAATAATATCCACAGCCCTGGCAACTATACAGGGTGAGTCGGGAGGAACGCACCAAACTCCAGCTGTGTATTGTACACGTAAAAATATTTTTTTAAAACCCATATGTTATTATACGATTCTCATGTGTTTCCATTCTGAATTTGAATAGATGTATGTCAATTTATAAGACTTTGATCGTACAAACTCGATTGTTTGGTCCGATTTGTTGTTCTGACATGTGTTAGTGTCAGTGTCAGAGTGTTTGACGCGTTTATTTTCCAATTTGTACGATTGAAGTCTCATAAAAGCCACACATCTATTCAAATTCAGGATGAAAACGAATGAGAATCGTATAAGAACATATGTTTTTTTTTTAGTTTTTTTTTTATGTTATGGTTCCCACGAAAAGGGGTATCCTGTAATGTTCAGAGAACATCGTGAGAACCAAGGGAAATGAGTTAGGAATTGGTGTTCTGCTTGAATTTCTAGATGTTATATGCCTTGGAGAACACCTCTCTTGGCAATGTGTTCCAGAACTTCGCTGTTCTTTGGATGACGAGTCTTTGGAAAAAGATGTTCTGCTGGTCTCCAAAGTGACCACGAAGGGGTGCGAAGCCTCAACTCGACGACAATTGTTGATATTTCAGAAGAGCATCGTCCATTATAATATTTATAAAATAGAGCCAGATCGTCAACTTTTCTACGGTGTTCAAGAGAAGTGAGTGAGTTTGTGAGCGAGGCATCACCCACGAGACGAATTGGGTGCTGCACTCCAAATATGGAAACAGTATTCCAGGACAGGTCGGATCTGTGCCTTATAGATCATAAGCAGCTGACTGGAAGTGAAATAGCTCCTGTCCCGAAACAAAAAACCAAGTTCTTTTAATGCACTTTTAGCAATTGATCTCACGTGATTTCCACAAGAAAGGTTATTGCGGATAGTAATCCCAAGCATCGGAATGGATGTCTTCAAAGGTATGGTTACTCCTGACAAGCTCATGTTGGGCACAGTGAGATCGGCTCTTTTAGAGAAAAGGCATGCTTGTTTGTGTGTTGTTTGCATTGAAATCCATCAAAGTTATGGATCTCCATTCGAGAATTGTTGCCAAGTCATATTTATGTTGTCAACATTTCTCCCTCATTCGTTTCTGATTTGCCTGGCTGGAATTGGAGCCCTGGAAGAGAAAGCGTTATGGAGGGTAATATCATCCGCGAAGCTGTGTACTGGACATGAAGTTGATTCCAACAAATCGTTGATATGGAGTAGAAATAGTGTTGGTGCTAGAATTGATCCTTGCGGAACACCAGAATTTATGATAAGAGAGTCAGATCAAACTCCGTTGACCACTACATGGAGAGACCTGTTTGAGAGAAAACTAGCAAACAGAGAACATAGCTGGGGGGCAAGCCATAAGATGAAAGCTTGGCGAGGAGTCCGTGGTGCCAGACTCGATCGAATGCCTTGGAGATATCAAGTGCCACGGCTGAGGTTTCACCATATTTTTCCATAGATTGCTGCCATATAAGTGAGACGTAAGCGAGCAGGTCATCAGTTGATCTCTGATGACGGAAGCCATATTGCCTATCGTTGATAATACCAGAATGTTCCAGGTATTTCATGAGCTCGATGTTGATAGCTTTGAAATAATAGCAGTGTGATCGGTCTGTAGTTGCTAGGTTGGGTCTTTTTGCCTTTATTAGGAACTGGTTGTACTCTTGCAATTTTCCAGTTGGACGAGAATATCCCCAATTTGTAAGAGTAGTTGAACAACTTGCAGAGAACAGGTGTTAGTTCGGAAGCGCATTTCTTGAGAACAGTCAGAAGGTTATTTTTACGTGTACAGTGCATCCCATTTTGGGTGAGTCAGCTAGGTTTCTGGCTTGTTATTTAAGATAGAGCCTTGCGGTTGTCACGTTCCTTTCCTACTTTTTTGTGAAACTCAAAATGGCCTAATCAGATTTTGCACAACTGTTTCCGTTTATGAGATACAGGGCGATTTTGTAAATTTATACTTTTCGGGCCCCTCCTTTATCTCCGAAGTTATTAGAAATAATGCTGAGCTGAAAACTACGTCTGATACAGAATTCCGCGTAGAATCCAGTGACGCACTCACTTTTTTTTTTCGGGGTATGGTTTTGAATATACGACACAAACTTGAAGTTTTTTCAATGGAACACCCTGTATTTTATCACTTTATTGAATTCGTTATTTTTTTTCCTTCAAAATGATGTATGATACTATATAGGTAGGATGTTCAGAAATGCTAAGAAAACACTAAAACATCACATAATGACGATTTCTTGTTAGTGGGCCATGGATTTCCCATATAAAAGAATAATCAATCGGATAATTTTCATTTGAATTTTTTCATAGGAGAGTAAGCAAATAAAGATAATACACTCATCACTAACACGAGAAACAAAACGTTGGTACCTACCTAATAGCAACAAATAAAAAATACAATTTCATAATACAAATTAGATACAAAAGAAATAACCAATAAAATATTTTTCATGAACAAATTTTCAACATTACATAATATTTTACTGATTGAACTGTTCGAATTGCTGTCCATTTTCCCTAATACATAATTGACAAACCTTTTCAATACGCCTGAGTGCATTTAATATTATAAAAGGGCGCCTTTGTAAATCTCGGAAAGCTGCCTCTGTTGATGCACGAAGTTCTTCGGGACTGTTGTGTCTATTACTGTATATTTTATTTTTCAAATAGCCCCACAAGAAAAAGTCTAATATAGACAAATCAGGTGACCTTGGAGGCCACCTGATGGGTCCATGCGTTCCAATCCAACAACCCTGAAAATTATTTTCTAAAAACCGCCCGATCAATCTTGAATTGTGGGCAGGGGCGCCGTCCTGTTGAAAATGTATGGAATTAAGGAAGGCGAGGGGAACATCTTCCAGTAGTTCCGGTAACACGTCTTCTAGAATTGTCAAGTACCTATTTGAGGTAAGGGATCCTTCAAAAATGCGGTATATGATTTTTGTCCCCAATATGAAACATGCCACATTGAAACCAAATCGACCCTGTTGTTGCCGATCGAAAATTAAGTGCTGGTTTTCATCATACCAATGCCTTGTATTTTGCCTGTTAAATATACCAGCACTGCTTATATGTGATTCGTCTGACCAAATAACCTTTTTTGCAAAATCAATGTCTCTCTGAGCATGGTTCAAAAACCAATTGCAGAAATTCAAACGTCTTGCTGCATCACCAGGATATAAGTGTTGGACAATATTGACTTTGTAGGGTTTTAACTTATACTTTTTTAAAATTCTGTGTACCCGTGATCTGGAAATGCCAGTTTCATTTTCTAATTTTGCACAAGAAGTCTGATGATAGGCATGAACGCTAGCTAACACATTTATTTCTTCTACTTCTCGATTCTCTCTATTATATACCTTGGGTCGAGGTTTAGAATATGCACCATAATTCTGTAAATTGTTCTTTAGTCTGAATATAGTTGCTCGACTAGGTTGATACCTCTCTGGATATCTGAAAGTTTTCAAATCATGATGTAGGGAAATGTCTTGTGAAATTCTCGACGTCATACCTGTTCAAATAGAGTTCCAAAGCTTCGCCAACGTTTTCATTGCATTGATTGAAACATTGTATAATGTCATATTTTTCATTGTTTTGAAAAACCAAATCTCTTCCTGCCATTATCAGTTCTCAATTAACAAATTCACAAACAATTATTTCTACTATATTCAATATTCCTTCAAACCCAAACACGATGATACACAATAATAATTCATAGCGATGACAGCTAGATCAAATTTGTTTTTTTTCTCTCTCTTCAATGCTCACTGGATAAAACAATGCTCCCAAATGCATAGTAGCCAGAATAACAACAAGGATGTTCGCATCATCCATGACCTACTACTGTTGATAATCAAAAGTAATATCCCTTTTATTGAAAAATCATCATTATGTGATGTTTTAGTGTTTATCATACATCATTTTGAAGGGAAAAAAATAACGAATTCAATGAAGTGATAAAATACAGGGTGTTCCATTGAAAAAACTATAAGTTTGTGTCGTATATTCAAAACCATACCCCGAAAAAAAGAAGTGAGTGCGTAATTTTAATGAAGTGGCTACGGTTATATGTCATTAATACGAGTATTGGAGAAGTAACTTCAATGACGTTCCAGTGACGTATCGATGTTGTCTGAACAAAGTCCATGTAAAGATTGCCAGCTAACCTAACCTGCTTCAACCTCACGAGACTCATCTGCTTCGAGCTTTCCAGATTTCCTGCCACTCGAAGTATTCAAATTTGACTGCATTAGTATTTCATGGCCTAATGCATCATGATCTAATCTCTGATAATGAAGTTGAAGTATTCGGCAGGTGATTTCTCGATATAATTTTGTTAATTTTCATGCAGATGGATGACAGATATATGTCATATCAATGAGAATAAATCATCTACCTAAACCGATTCTTGCACAAGCCGATTTTATCATTTCAATATTGAAGGCGGAACTGTTACGGTATCAAATAATATATCTAGCTATACCAAATCTATTCCTGTGCAATGTGAAATTCTGCAACTTATGGAAGAGTAAAGATAACGTTTTTAATAAGTACCAAAATTTCACTAGTGACCATTAAATTGATGCGCATGATAAACTGAATCAAAAGTTGCATGATTCCTTCATTATTTTTCTACACTGGCTAGCCAGCCATGATAGCCATCAGTGAGAGTTTCATGAACTGTGAGGAATTTGTCTATTTTTATTTAATAAAAGCAAATATGTATTGATTTCCTATCAACTGAGCACGCTCGTTATTCCAGAAAATTATAGGTTTGGCACAGAAAAGCAATTGAGCTCCGCATAAAAAGTATTGTTGTTGCTTTTTATCTGTATATCTCATCACGACACAGTGCTTACATGTTGTTCTCTACACTGTA